TTCCATAGTTCCATGTTTCCTGCTGGCTGCAAGAGCATGGATATGGACATATAAATGGCCTTGGATTGCTTTGGGTGATGGACAAATTAATAAAAAGTAGGATGCTAATAATACCACTTAGATTTGAACAACTGTAAGCCTATGTTTATAATCAGTTTTCATTGCTAGTTGTAGCATTATCATTTACTCATGTCTAGGATTTTTTAATTTCTCTTTCAGGCTGACCAAATTGCTGTTGGGTTGCATTCAGGTAGAAGATTTGGGAAAAGGATTATGTTTGCCCACTGAAAATGCACAATCTATGTAGGTTTCACACAGTCCAGTAATACTTTTAATGTACTTTTATAATTTTAAAGTAGAAGTTTGGATGTGTCAAACTCAGCATTTAATAGAATTTTCCATTCATCCTTGACAATATATGCCAACTTCAATTATTTGGTCAGCTGTTTATTTAAAACTTTCACTCTTTAAAATGAAAGAATTACAATGATCAAGTAGCCTTGTTTCATTTTCAGATTAATGTTGCTTAATGTACTGTTTGTTTTCTGAGAAATATATGTGAAAAATACTGCTTGTATGGGACAAATCAGCCTTACAACTAAGGGAAACATTTTAAAAGTATAGTATATGATGATTCAGGCATGCACTCATTTTAGATGGTGACACAAATCAGACACTTGATAAGTTTGTGTGTCTTTATTTGCTGTGAAGAAGTAGAAGAGAAATGGTGTTATATTGTTGATATTTAAATATAATACTTTCCCATATAGTCAAAGTTTATGCCTCCATAAAAGTGAAAACAAACTACATGGCTATCAGCCAGAGCTACCTGCAAGCTATTGTTACTTTATTGAGAATGTTGAAAGTGGTCTTGTGATGCAACCTCCATGCTTTTGATGAATGCATGGAATGTCTTGATGCCTGTATAAGGGGAGGATGGGGCCTATAGGACAGGGCTTTTCAACCAGTGGTACACATACCTGGCTGGTGGTACGCGGTGCCCCTTCTTCCCCCCGTGTCGCTTTCCTTCCCCCCTCCCCCCCGCTCTGCTCCTTCCCAGCTTACTTGTTTGTGGAAAACATGCTGCTTGGCGGCAGCCTGCACAAACCCTACCGAACATGCCCTGCAGAGGGCGCACGAAGAGCGCAGGTGCAGAGCAAGGCCCCGCCCTCCCCAGGGACTCATTGTGCAGCAACCGGATTGACTTCTTCTGGTGCATGCAGGTCAACGGGATCCCTATTGCCTTCCCCTCCCTCTTCTTACTTCACAACAAGCGCTAGCCTGATAGGGGATAGAGCCATCCATTCCCTTGGCAGGAAGGGGTTTGAGACCGCTCGTGTCGCGGCCCTGAGCGCCAACATCACAACCGCCCCTCCTTTTCCCCCTTCTCTCTCTCTGTTGCGATCTCACACTCTTCCATCTTCTTCCCCCCCCCTCGCAAGCTTGCGATACCCCTCACGGCCCTCATGTTGCCTCCCGAGGGCTCATCCTGCGGCAGCAGGTGGGAATTGAGGCCCACATTTGTTTTGCTGATGCACGCCAGGCGAAGCCAACAGAACAGGGGTGTGAAGGGAGAAATGTGCCTGCCTGACTCCCTCCCCCCTACTATTTCACAGCATTTAACCCTTCCCCATTTCCACCACGGCTGGCCAGCCCACCCGCCAGTCAGTTTCCCCTTCCGGGCTGGGAGAAGCACTGCAGCCTTCCAGTCCCGTGAGCATTGTTTGGCTGTGCTCCAGGCCTCATATTCATCAGCTGTTCGGCGGCTGAGAGACAGAGCCTTTCAGCTTCAGGCCGCTCCATCTGCCCTTGACTCCCTGCCTCGGCCTCCCGCCCATCAGCTGTTTGGCGGCTATGAGTAGGACGCATCCACGCTGCCAAGTAGAATGGCGCTGGCTGCTGGTCTCCTTTGCTGCCCCGCACATCATCCTCAACCCCTCCCCCGCCAGTTCATGTCAAGCCCGCAGGGGCTTGACAGGGAGAGAGGGAAGGAAGGAGGAAGGGATAAAGAGGGAGGTGAAGGAAAGGAAGGAAAGAAGGAAGGAAGGGACAATGGGAAAGAGGGAGGGAAGGAGGAAGGGACAAAGGGGGAGGTGAAGGAAAGAAGGAAGGAAGGACAATGGGAGAGAAGGGAGAGAAGGAGGAAGGGATAAAGAGGGAGGTGAAGGAAAGAAGGAAGGAAGGAACAATGGGAGAGGGAGGGAAGGAGGAAGGGACAAAGGGGGAGGTGACGGAAAGAAGGAAGGGACAATGGGAGAGAGGGAGGGAAGGAGGAAGGGACAAAGGGGGAGGTGAAGGAAAGAAGGAAGGAAGGACAATGGGAGAGAAGGGAGAGAAGGAGGAAGGAATAAAGAGGGAGGTGAAGGAAAGAAGGAAGGAAGGGACAATGGGAAAGGGAGGGAAGGAGGAAGGGACAAAGGGAGGTGAAGGAAAGAAGGAAGGAAGGGACAATGGGAGGGAAGGCAGGCAGGAACCCGTCCCAGTCGTATCCCCCTCCACCAGAGACCCACGGATTACCCCCCACGGCACCCTGCAACCTGAGTTATCAGCTAGCCATGTCCCCGTCCATTGATCACATGACCCTGGGACACTGAATATCATAAGTATGAATTAGTTGCTAAGCAATCCGAATGTAAATCACAAGACCCTGGGAATGCTGCAATAGTCATAAGTGTGAAAAATGGTCATAATTCGCTTGTAACTTCAGTCACAAAGTGAATTTTTGTAAGTCGAGGACTACCTGTACTTTCTCATTTTTTCCTCTCTTTTTTTGGTCAAGTTTTTGATACCTTGCTGGGCGAGTGGTGTTACTCGGATATTGCCTTATCTGAAAAGTGGTATAATGGGTTAAAAAGCCCTGCTATAGGAGATGCTATGATGCTGATACAATACACTGACTCCTGCCTAGAAGCCATCTGCTACGAACAGGTTGTGCTGGGTTTTTTAAACAAAGGACTAACTCAGCAAATAGAAAATGTTTTGTCCTAACTCCTGCTTTTTTGCCCCCATCATCTCTTGAGAATGAAGCATCTTACAGATAGAAAATATAATTCATAACAAACTGTCCACCTGCACTGATTACTTTTTGTAGAAGCTCATATAATATCCTTTTAAAACTTTGAGAAGTGATTCTTAACAGGGCATCTAGTACTCATTCTGTGGTAGTTTCTTTTATAATATTCACCCGAGAATGTGAACTAACTGCTTGGAAGAGAGAGATTAACCTTATGTATGCAAGTAGTTTTTTTTCATCTTGGTTGATAAAATCAGCTGCATACTGAAAATACTAGCTGTATGGATTCTGGATTTATGTAATGTCTCTGTAGAAAAAAAAGAGGTATCATTCAGACACCTTGGAAAGAAATAATGTATGTGTGTGTATAAGATCTGAACCCAGATGATAATTACTGAACCCAGTTTAAAGGGCTGATGTTAACCTTAAACATCCTAAAAGACTAAGCATTAGATTATTTTCAGGGCAGGTCTTCTGGTATGAACCCACCCAACACGTAAGATGAGAATGATCTCATCCTCTGATCTTTTTCATAACAGCCTGCCGATAAGTGGCTTGCCCATGATTGTAGGATTCCATTTCTGCTGTGCTCCCGCTCTAAATATTTTTAGAAAACACTGGATACTTGTTCCAGACAACGCTGCTTTTAATTTCCTGTTGTTGGCTTTTAAAATGTTTATCACTGTCCAGTCTGCTTCTCATTTGTACTCCTCTTCCCCCCCCCCTGGTTTTCTGGTCCCTTAATTGTTTTCATCTTGATTTGATTTTTTTTTTTTTTTTTTTGGGCTATATGTTTTTAGGTTTGGAAATCAATTCCCATCCTCCCAAAGGCAGGAAGTTTTCATCCAGTCTCCTGAGTTGATTTCAACTTAAGGAGAGACTTGTTAGGAGAGACAGAGACTACTTAACGCTTGCTGCCCTGCACAATCTTTCTTCATAAATAGCTTTGTTAGTTTTATAGAACATGAATATGAAATTCATCTGTAGGACTTGGATCTCTACCTGATTGTCTAGCACAGATGGATTCTTCTTCTGAGTCTAGGTCAAACTTTAAACTTCTAAAACCACCTTCCTGGTTTTGTCATTGGCCAAATATCGATACAGGTTTCTGGTAGAAGCCAATCATATCAGTAGATAGGTTGGGCTCTGGGTCTCTCCACATTCAGACAGCATATTGTTATCTGCTAAGAGCCTCCACTTGAGTGCATTGGTTTTACACATAGGTACTCCAACTCTCAAACTATTCAGGGTTCTCCAAGTAGTATTTTAAATGAGAATTGATATGCAAGGCCCTTCCGTTTCTTTGCCTTTGGTTGATATCGTCCATCTTGAGAGTAGATATAGACTGCAGTAGAATGATAGTATATATATTTATTCTGATTACATTTCTGGCTTCTTTTTAATTTTAATTTTAAATCCATAATCTGGGAGGTTGTGGAAACTGGAAGCAAACCTATCCTTTCCCCCCATAGTACTTTTTGTTGCATCTATAGAAAATACTGTAGGTAAAATATCCAAGCAGGATATTTACCCAGAATAGAAAGGAGTAGATACTTTCCACTTTGCTCCAAGTGATTTGACCTCTGGTTGATATTTCCAGCTGTATGTTTGTATTCTGCAAACAAGATTCATGCAAGGTTGTAATCCAAGCTCTATGAGACTAAAATCTGTGTGTCAGAATTTCTCTGCTTACTCTGCTTGTATTGAAATACATTTGGGCCAGATTCCTGGAATGTTGATTTCATCTTCACAGATGTAAAACAGGCAATACATTTTTAATAAGGAACTAATTTTTTAAAAACGTTTAGATGCTAATTATATGCAGCAATACATCAAATTATTTATCTGTTCAGAATGATCTCTATTTGTTCAATAACAATTTTTCATTATTTTTCCTAGCTTTTTACTGCCAATTCATACTCCATTATTAAATAGTTTAAATCATTGCAAAATGACATTAAGTTTGCTTTGTTTTGTTTTCTTACAGTGGAATCTCGTATGTGACAGTGATTGGAAAGCTCCTCTAACTACATCTTTGTTCTTTGTGGGTGTGCTGCTTGGATCTTTTGTATCTGGACAACTCTCAGACAAGTAAAGTACACATATTTAAAAATAGCCTATGGGGGTGTGTGGGTTTTAAACATATTTTTGTAATGCTCTTAAGAGGATTCAGAATCATGCTTAACTTGATGGTTAATTCCAAATTTGAAATTGAATTGAAATCAAACATTCATGGGAATATATGTTAGTAGACAACCGAGCTATATATTTATCTTCGTAAACTAGTTGCATTCTACACATCTGTAAGTGTGACATATTTGTACATCTGTATGAGATATGCATGAATTTCAATATTAGTACTAGCAATTAAGTTCAAATAAAAGAGATTGCTATTTGACCATTGTCAGAAGTTTTTCACAATCTGCTTGTCACTTTTTATTGGGAAGCTGTGAGAATAAAAAAAGCACTAAACATTTCTGATTGAAGAAGAATCTTGGAATACTAGTTTGGGACAGATAACTAAATAAGAAATATATGCTTAACCTTTCCCCTGTTGCACATTTTCTTTTTTAAAAAAACTGTCCTCTGAGACTTTAGTGCATTTATTTCAATGTAATACTTAGTTTTCCCTTTAGGGGATCAGTTTTGTGCAATTCTAATACAAACCAAGTACAGTATCATATGCTATTTATTTTTAAGTTCCAACCAGTCCATTGTAAAACTGCCTAGTACAGAACAGTCTTCTCTAACCTATCAGAAGTGATGGACTACAGCTTTCACCATTCCCATCTAGTATGGAGATGGGAGTTCCAATGCAATATTTCTGGAGGTTAGATTAGCTGACTGTTGGAAATGCTGGATGGTTGAAGTCTCCATAAACAAAAATCAATCATATGTATAGTGAAGGTAATACTGTATACTGCCACCATGTGTTCATCTCAATATATTACTGAGAAAGGCAAGCCAGGTTTTTTTAAGTTAATGTTTACATAATACTAACTCAGCATTTTGCTACTCTTGAGTTTCATCTGTATTTTTTGTAGTCATCCAAAAATGTGTGTGTGTGTGTGTTGGTTGTTAAATTTGTGTTAACATGTTTGTTTGTTTTTTATTTTTATTTTTTATTTTGGTTTGGTGAACACAATGGGTAGATTACCATTTAAATTTGCATCTCAATCTGCCATTACTAGATTCATATTAAGAGCTATTTAGCAACTGGATTCAGAGTGCCCAAGATTCTAACTACAGATTGTTTTCAATTTGGATTAGTTTTTCCCTTTATTTGGTTAGAAAAAATCCCCTTTCCCACTATATCCTTTTGTATTTGATCCAGGTAACAATGGAGAATGGAGTAGAATAACCTCTAAACTAAGTTTGAGTAATTCAGGCATAGATAACATTGAAAGTTCTATTGCTAAATCACATGATGATGTACCTATATTCCTTTGAAATCTACTGTCTACTGAAAATAAAGGGGAGATTGGGTGGACCTATTTGCTCTTCCTAAAAGCAAACAATAATTATATTCTGGTTTAATTTATATTTTTTTGGCTTGCTTGTTCTTCTTTTCCCCAAAAGGTTTGGCAGAAAAGCTATTCTATTTGCAACCATGGGTGTGCAGACAGGTTTCAGCTTCCTCCAGATCTTCTCAACCAGCTGGGAAATGTTCACAGTGCTTTTTCTTATAGTTGGCATGGGGCAGATTTCAAATTACGTTGTGGCCTTCATATTAGGTAAGATTATTTTCACTCTTAAGCTTTATTTGCCTGTTTCAATATGTAAAATATTAAAATATTCCCACATATAAGTATGAAAACTATATTTAAGGAAAATAGCTAAATTAAAAGAAGGGCTAAGAATTGGTAGAACCTGAGAAAGTCCAGATGTTGAAGAGGATAAAATTTGCCAAGTGAAAGAAAATACTTTCTGTCAATTTAGCTAGCTGATTCAGTGACTTAAATGACTCATTCCCACTGTGTGGTTATATTGTTTTTGAGGTTTAACATAGTTTAATAGAATGTAACAGAATTGGAAAGGACCTTGGAGGTCATCTAATCCAACCCCCTGCTCAGGCAGGAGACCGTATACCATTTCAGACAAATGGCTGTCCAATTTCTTCTTTAAAACTTGCAGTGTTGGAGCATCCACAACTTCTAGAGGCGAGTTGTAGATTTGTCTGGACAAACATAGACATTTCAGTAATTGATTTCAGATTGTTACAGAAGTAACATTCACTAGCTATTCTGAAACCTTTTTTAATTCATCAGAAGCCAGAACTTGTTTAACAAGGAAAGCAGAAGAAATATTTGAGAAAAGGGTGAGGGACATCATAAATATGACAAAAGGGGCAAATTTTAGCATAAACAACAGGATTCTTCTGAACTCCCTTAGCCATCTTGTCATGCTTTTTTTCCCTTCCCCCCTCTCAGTCTTGAATAACAACAACTGGGAACGGTTGACAGATACAGGAACTCCCATCTTCTAGCATTCATAGTTAGGAAATTTATTCTTTGTTAATGCAATATTGAAGACTCCCAAGAGACTAATGTTTAAATCAGCAATGGCACTACTTAGAAAGAAGTTAGGGCAGGTTGCTTCTTTAAATGATTATGTTTTATGCCACCATAAGCATATCCATAAGGCAGCAGTGCCCAACTTTTACAGCTTGGCAGCACGGTAGGGGGGAGAGGAAAACAGGCGTATGCAAGTTGAGCTGCCTGTGTGCATTCCAGCCCACTGCCCACACAAGTTGAGCAGCGCATGCGCACATGCTGGCCAGCTGCTGTGTGGCCCAGTTTCAAACAGGCCCAGGCCCCAGTAGTGGGCCACAGCCTGGGGATTGAGGACTCCTACCATAAAATCTGAGGTAAAGTCCATCCCCATCATACTTTTTATGCAGGCAGATCTTGAATCATACGAAGCTATATGTGGTCACCAGTTTCAGATTGCTGCCTTCCTGGAGCCTGATGATAACTATTTGGCTTCAGGGTGACTTGTGAATTCAGAGTTATCTAAAACAGGACCAGTACTGGGCTGCGGCATGCCAACAACCGATCCACATAAACAAGCAAAGCTCCATCCGTGGGATGCAGGCAGCACACAAAACCACGCATTTTCCGGTCCGTTGAAAAACCTCTCTCCACAGAACCAGTCCCTGGTGCCCAAAAGGTTGGGGACCTCTGATCTAAAAATTTCAAGTTCAGATACAATAGGGAGTTAATTTCTTGCTTTTTTAGCTGGATTAACCATCAAGTTGAATTGGCTCATTAGTTTTACTATAGTTATTTCTTTACTATTCTTTATTAAATTATATGTGGCATTGCTTTTTTTTAGTACTCTCAGCCACCAGATTACCAAATTTGTCACGTTGAATGCTGATGCTTCAGAAAGGGAATTATTGGAAGATAAGAATATTACTCTGTCCCTGTTTAAATGACAGTTTTTTCAATTAAAGAATAAAGAGCAATGATATCTATTTTGTTGATCTTTGTATAGAAAAGGAATTCTCCAGTACAGGAGATGGAGAATCCACCAATGGGTTTTCTCTGTCTGCCTGCTCTTGAGATCAAGTAGCCAAACTTGACACGCCCCCTCTTGCTAGGAGATCCTGTCTTGACTTGGTCTCAAGTTCTTAAAGACATATCAGGTTTGGCTCTCTCAACAGATAGCAGGTTAGAAATCCATTGGTGTATTCTCCTTTCCCTATAGTACCCTCTAAAATTGACTAAATATTAAATTTGGATTCCTCCCTTAATTTTCCCATAGTGCTGGGATCAGTGCTAACTCAAATCATTTATTTGAGGAGTGAGGTGTGGGGGGAGGCCTCTGCAGCTTTCCTTCTTTACCTTTCCCCAGGGCTCTGGGGAAAACTTCTGAGCAGGGGCTGCTTGGCGTAGCCTTTGTTCTCCCCCCCCCTTTTTTCCCCCCTTTGAGCTACCAGGCGAATTCCAGGCTGCAGGTCTGAAATTCGAGCTTTGATTCAAGGCCTCCGGAGTCATCTCTGGTGGCCGGGAACGGTCGCAGACTCCATTTTGGTTGCCGGCAAAGGCAACGAATTTCACCTCAGCCTTGTTCTTTTTGCTGTTCGAAAACAAGCTCTCTGGGTGCAATTTCGGCGCAGTGTCTAGTGCTGCCATCGCGATCGCCCCAGGCACCAGAATTTTTGCCTTTGAGGCCTGCGGAGGCCATTCTCAGTGGAGAACAAGTTGCAGCTGCCATTGTGGGGCCGCCAACAAAGGCAAAAAGTTGCGAATGGCTTTTCTTCGGCGTCCTCAGCGTTCTGCCTTCCATCGTTGGTTCAATTCACTCAGCCCTTTTAGGACTTTAATTTCCGATTACACTGCACACCTCTGGGCACAAATAGGTAAGATGACTCCTAGCGGCCGCCATCTTGAACGCCACATGGGAGCTTCTTTAGGCCCCACGAGGCCTACTCACAGTAGTTGGCCTGACCCAGGCCGCATTTGAGGTACGTGTTTCCTTTATCACAAATCACTTTCTGCAATACAACACAAATTGTTTCAGACCCTCTGCGCACTTCATTGGGGCTTTTTCTGGTGCACCTTGACTGGCCACCTAAGGCCTCCGGGCAGAGCCCAGAGCAGGTCCCCAACTGTGCCTTCGGCATCTGACTCAATTGCTGTGACCAAAGCCCATATAGATTTTTTTCTGGTCAGGTGGTAAGGGGAGCAGTCTTGTTACTTGTTCCAATTTCGCTTCTGCCAACTGCTTGCCTGCCAGAGCTTCGTCTCAGTTTCCCTGAGACTGCTCAACCAGGGTGGATGACTCCACGATGCCTCAACCCATGAGCACTGCCTCTCCATCCTCTAGTTACAGCCAGCACAAATCCTCTGAACAGGAGGCGGCAGGCAAGCCCAAATCTAAGGCTAAGACCACTCTCAAGAAGCCTTCCAAGTTGGCGGAAAAGCAAGCCAGCCGTAGGCACCAGGCTCTGGAGAAGGAGTTCTCCAGAGTGCAGAGGCAGGCCGGATTAGAGATGGATCAAATGGCAGTTCCTGAATTTGACCTTCCTTTAGGCCCTTCAACCTCGGCTGAAGTTTGTGGTCTCTCACAGGGACACCTGCCACACTCAGCTCCCCTTCTGTATTGGTTCAACAGGCAACAACTGCTTCAGGCTCAACCCCAGAGGCCACTTTCACTCCTACGGCTGCAGGACTCAGAGGTCCGGACATCGGAGACATTTTCTCCGACGGCCGCCTTGAGGCCTTACTATCCAAGGTTGTGGACCGCGCTCTAGCAAAACAGTCCTTCCATCCGCCTGGACAGGGGGCTGCCACTTTATGTTCCCTCTACAGGGTTCCCTATTCTTCAGGAACCCACATCTCCTGCACACTCCTCCATGAGCGGATACTCATCTCCGCAAGATGAGGAGCAGCCGGAATTTAATCTATCAGAGGAGGAGGAACTTCCCCCTGAACCCTCCCCATCGGGAGGCCTGTTCAATCCAACCCTGTTTCTTCCCCTACTTCGCAAGGCCACATCAACGGCAAACGTAGGGTGGTCCGATCAGTTCCCTCAGCCACAGGCAACTTCGAGTTCCAGTCCAAATCTGATATTTTTTGAGACGGTGGCAGCCCAATATCACGTTCCGTGTCCCTCTATTTTTCTCAAAGAGATAAAAAAACAATGGGCCTCCCATTCCTTCTTCCCTTCCGTAAGCAGGACTGACAAAAAAATTTTTAGCACCTCCACAGACCTCACTGATGCCCTGGAGGTCCCCAAGGTAGACGAAGCCTGGACCCCTCTGGTATCCCAGACTGCGGCCACTGGGGACATGTCAGAGGCACTTAAAGTGGACGACAGAAAATGGGACCAAACTTTCCAGAAGACCCATCAATCAGCAGCATGGGCAATTAAAACGGCCACTTGTGCGTCCTTCTTTGTGCGGACCACCCTTTTATGGCTGGGTCAGCTTCAGGCCAGGTTCCCCGCTGAGAACATTCGGACCCATCAGGACCTAAGCAAAATGGTGGCGGCCACTGAGTATGCTGCCGATGCAACGCTTCAGTCGGCCAACTTTGCTTCTAGGTCTCTAGCATCCAACATTACAGCCAGGAGGATGCTTTGGCTGAAATACTGGCAGGCCGACGCCAAGGCCAAATGGCGTCTTGCGACTGCTCCCTATCTGGGCAATAATCTTTTGGGGGAGGCCCTGGCCCCGTACCTTGTGGAGAACAAGGACAAGCGGAAGGTCATGGCTCACTTGAATACACGGCCCAACAAATGTCCCGCTCCCTATTTCCGTAGGCAGCCCTTTCGGCCAGCAGCAGGTCCAACAGTTATGCAGCCCTCCTGCTGATACACACCCAGACAGGACAGGCTGTATGACCGTCTGTATGACAGGCCGAGTTTTCGGTCCAGGCAGCAGAGCCAATCTAAGTGGCCATTTCGAGGGGCAGGGCGCCCCTACAGGAGGTCCAAGTGACTCTTACACTGCACTTCCCATTGGGGGAAGGCTGGCCCACTTCTTCCATCAGTGGGAACTCACTTCCATGGACACTTGGGTCTTACAAACCATTCAGTTTGGTCTGTCCCTGGAGTTTCTAGCCAGTCCCCCGGACCGATTCATCACCTGTCCCGTTTCCCGGGATCCACTCAAACAAGGACTCATGCAGGAGGCCATTCAACATCTTCTGGAGATTCAGGCCATAGAACCGGTACCGCCGGACCTCAAGGGAGGGGGATTCTACTCCATTCTGTTCGTGGTCCCCAA